CTTACCTTTAAAGCCTCGGAGACCAGATACTCCTGGGATCCCGGGAGCCCCATTAAGACCCTGTATACCCTTCAAAGCAATATGGGAATCATCATTTCTGCCCAGAACTCAAGGTTTCTCACCCTCCCACTCACCCTCCCACTCTCTGAGCCACTGCCTGAGAGATGTGTATCATACATGCACTTTGTGGCAGGCGTGGGGTGGAGGCATATAGCCTGCAAACAGGAAGGCAGTGAGCAAAGGGTGGAGACACACACTTAGGGTTTTTTAGGGGGGAAAGACTAGATCTGCAGATTAATCCTGGTCTTGTCGTTCATAACTTCCCACTGCTCATCAATATTGGAATCTTGGGAAATCAAGGTCTGGCTGCTCTAGCAAGTCTCTTAAATACAGAGATTGACAGGTCAGCCACTTGGAATGCACCACAGACAGTCTGCCACTGCTTCCCGTGCCAAAGCTTTGGAGCCATTCATTATGCACAAAAATAAATGTTTCCCTACAATGCAGGGCTAGCCCTCCACTGCTGATTCTGTAGGGAACATGAGCTGTTTCTTATACCAGGTAGCAGGTGGCGCATATGCAGATGCTGGAGTCTGATTTGGGGCTGTTACCATTTTCACAGGAAAAGCTGCCCCCGCTGGCTAATGTCCAACACACTATGAGTCTGGGAAGTGAGCATGTCTGCTTGCCATCAGCACAATTCTTCCCCTGGTGTGTTTCTGACTAATTCTGAGATGTACCCAGTAAAGACAAATGCCATGTAGTGCCATGGGCAGGAGTCTAAGTTTTGGTCTCCATCACTGTGCTTACTGGGACACCTGCTCCCTCTTCCACTTGTTTCTCTCCTGGTGTCTTCCTGCACATTGCCATATCTACTCCTAATTCTGAGCCTTTTCTCATGCTAGGTAGTCCTCTAAGAATGCCTTCCCAACTTGCTTACCCCTCCTAGTGTGTGTCAACATCTAGTTTAGAGCTACTTATTTGGCAATTGCTTCAGGGGTGTGTGTGTGTGTGTGTGCTCCCCACCAGACGGACTGATATTTCTGAAGCACAGGGACTTTGCCTGCAGGGAGAGTTCAGGTGTCTGTGACCAGTTCATTCAGACCCGACACTACTATTACTATTGCTACAATTTATCCAGAGCTTGCTGTATGTCCTATACGACACTAAATGCTTTGCACCTACATCTGACTTAATTCTCACTACTGTATGAAGGAGATTTGAATTTAATCCATTTTTACAGATGAGAAAAGTGAGGCTCAAGGAAGTTAAGCAATGTGCAGATGATCACAGAGCTAATGAATGATGGAGCCGAGATTCACACCCTAGTCTATCTCCTTCCTAAGCCCACTCTACCACCCTGTCTCTGAAGAGCTCAGAGAAACTGGACTTGATTTTTTGCTAAGTTGTTGCTTCTCACAGAACTTTCCTCTCAAAACATCAAGACATCTGTACTGAATTCTTATAACGTGCCAGACTTAATGTGGGATGCTGACAGTGGGGCACAGACAAGACAGCACATAAGGGAGTCCTGTTTTCGAGTCCTATGGATCTTGCTGAGGAAATCAGACCCACATAGACCCAACCAGTATCGATATACACAGTGAGAAGTGTAGAGGGCCAGTATGGTAGGAGCCCAGGGGTTTCTGAGGAGATGGGGTCTTAAGCAACTTCAGAGGAAGGAAGCCCTCCCTGTGTGGGGAGATAGCAGGAACAAAGGCACAGAAGAGGGGATGCTCAGGCAAGAGTGAGAAGAAGTGGCAAACTCAAGGAGAGGGAGTTGTATGAGGACATTCTGGGGGAAGGGGCTGAGAAGTAGGCTGGTGTCAGAAAAGTAAGCAACAGGGGCATTTCCACCTGCTGTAGGAAGTTCTTCCCTGATGATAAGACAAAGAACTGGGCACACTTACAGTTTCTCCAGGCATTCCCGGAAAGCCTGTGATCCCAGTGGCCCCTTTCAGGCCAGGCAAGCCCCGTTGTCCCAGACGGCCAGAGGGGCCTGGCTTTCCAATAACTCCTTTGCTACTGCTGGGGAATCCAGCAGCTCCAGGGAGGCCTGGTGGCCCAGGGAGGCCAGCCTCTCCTTTGTCGCCTAGGAAAGAAGCAAAAGGGCTTAGGAATAGACTGTGGGAAAGAGAAAGCCTGTTTGCCAATGTGCTGTTCCCCAGAGTAACAGGCACAGGGCAGGCTTGGGAGCAGGTGGAGGTGGGAGTGGGGGAGGGGCCCTCAGCCTTAAGGGCCACCACTCAGGCCACCCAGCTGTAGCAGTGAGAAAACGGCTCAAGGCTCATATCCCACTACCTGCCAGGCTCCTCCAGTGGTGCCACAGCCTGCGGGTCAAAAAGTCAGTTCCCCAGTGGTAATGACAAATGGCAGTCTCAAAGTCCAGGTACCCCTTAGGCCCAGGGAAGGCAGTCTCCTTGAACCCCCTGCTGCTGCCCATTGCTGCTCTGAGGAGCCTTGCAGGGAGGGATTTCTCAGGAAGAAAATCAAGTTGGGTCATAAAACCTTTCTTGGGCTTTTCTCCTGCCCATTCCCTGCCCCAGCACCTCTGGGCCCTGGAAATCCATCTGATCCAGCTGAGCCCTGGGAGCCTTTGTCTCCTTTGAGCCAAAGATTCAGCATCGGAGGTCTTGGGCTGGGTATTCCAACCAACCCCAGGTTGCCTCTTTCTCCTGCAGGGATGGAGATCATGAGATCAGGGTGAGAGAGAGCTTAGACACGGGGTCAGGTATGGGCTGACCTGTCATATCAGTTCTTCCCACATCAGTTTCACTTTCTGGGCCCACTCCCATTCTCCTAAGTCTGCATTTCTATTTCTGCCCTCTCTTTCTACAAGCTCAAAGTCCATCAGCAATGTTAGACCATACTCAAAACTCTCCTTCCGTGATGATGTGGGAATGTATACATACACAAGACGTCTAATGGTAGTGTTAACTGATTAGGCTGTTCAGGTTCAAAGGACATAATTCAGAACCCAAAAGTCTTATCTAACACAAGGTTGGTATAAGCCACAGGAATAACAAATTCCACAAACAAAATGTACCTTTGGAAGTGTGGGGGGTAGTTCCAGAATTCAATTTTCTAGCTCACCTTTTTCACCAGGGCTACCAGCAGGTCCAGATGTTCCAATGCTTCCTGCTGACCCAGGTCTTCCCTTTAATCCACTTGTACCAGGAATACCAGGAATACCCGGTATTCCTGGAAAACCTATCAGTCCAATGGACCCCTTCTCACCTGTTGAAAAACCAGAACTTCTATTTTATCCCTGTTTTATGTACAGGATATTGAGACTCAGAGAAGATCAATAACTTGCCCAAGGTCACACAGTTAGGAAGTTGCAGAGCATGTATTTAAGCCCTGGTTTCTCAAAGGCCAAAG